GTCAACTCAACTTTGCGTATGCATCTTTCTTCTTTAGTGAATTCTTCGCACGAAACGCCTTTATCTAGTTTTGTTAAACTGTGGTTGGACTCTGCCATTCTTTATATCGTTCTGATATGCAAAAAAAGGTCCTGTCAGTCAACATCATTCACCATTTTGCGCAAATTTTCTTTTACTTTCTATATATATTTTGTAATAAAATTTTTTTCTTCCTACTTTTGTTTTCTGCACGTAATTAAAACTTGAACTGCATATAAATTAGAAATCAGTCAGCTATGCATTTATAATTTGCATTTTTTTCCATACTCTTCATTTTATATACATACTTTTATATGTAAAACAGAAATTTACAAACTTAACACAATAAAAAAAACTTAATTATTATGGTTAATACAAAAAAATTGTACTTTATTACATCTATTGCAAAAAAAATACTTTTAAATATTTTTTATTAAATTAAACTTATATAAAACTTAAATTAATTTAGTATAATTATTTAACCATAGAAACCAGGTCTTCGGAATCCGCCGTAGAAAGGTCTTCTGAAGCCACCACCATAAAATGGTCTGCCAAAGCCACCACCATAGAAAGGTCGGCCAAAGCCACCACCATAAAAAGGTCGGCCAAATCCACCGCCATAATATGGTCTGCCGAATCCACCACCATAGAATGGTCTGCCAAAGCCACCTCCATAAAATGGACTACCAAATCCTCCCAATCCACCTAGTAAACCAAATGTACGTGCTTGTCTAGTCTCACGATCGCCTGTGCTATCAGCTGTCGTACCGGCATCTGCATTTAAAAGTTCCTTGACGGCTACATTAGTTTCTTCTTTAGGTTCTATTAATTGTTGTGAATCTTCTGCTATGCTAACATTTGCTAAAACTCCCAGCACTAGCAGTACGCTTACATACCACAAATAGCGCATTTTAAATATTATAACTAATTATTAAATAATTTATTTTATTAAAAAAATACTAAAACTTTTTTAAACACTCCTTGCTTGCTCTTTTGATAAAACTAATCAAATTTTTATTTTGTCTAATAATTTATAGATTTTAGGTAATAAATTTTGACCTTGAATTAATAAAATTTCATCTTATGGTATTGCTGTTAATTCTTTTCTTTACAACGTATTTGTATCTACGTTCTGACGTTTATTATAGAACTTGAAGCATCTGACAAGTTTCCCGCAAAAAATAACTTCATCATGATCATGTTTGAAACAATCTTTCGGCAAAACCCAAAAAAATATTTTGATACAGAATAGGTATTTTTTTTTTTGGTTTTATTAAATTAATAAACAATTTCATTAAGTTCTTATTTAAATACAACAGAGATACTTGTACATACATGATACGATAAACATAAACAAGAAAAGTCGCAGCGCAAATATAAATAAATAGATCTCAGAAAATGGCAAACTTTTAAAGTTCAGTATTCTTATAAGAGATCAGAACAAACAAGTTTTACTCCAAAACATTAGTAGAACCAGTAAACAGGCTTATCTAACTTATAGTATATCATAAAGTTAACACATGAATAAGATAGTTTTTCGGCAAAGAATGAAGAATATATCTGTATGTACATATGTATGCTAAATGTATATATATACCTGTTATCACTTAATATTATAATGATATTTGCAATAAATTAATGATTCACTATTAAAAAACCATCTCATAAAAATACCAGCAGAAGTCATATAAATTAATAGATTTGTTGAAAACGTTGAATGAAGAATGAACGAGTTGTCATAAAATTGCTATATAAATTGCAATATAATTATGAATATATACGTAGACATATACATGTTAAAAACGATTACTAATATAATATATTATAAATTTAAAAATTTCATACAAAACAGCTTCTTAGGATTCAGATGTCAATATTTATTAAAACTTTAAAAGATTTTAAAGTTGATAAATGATTTGCCGGTTCATTATTTAGAACCCAATATACTCCTATATACTATACAACTAAAAAGTACTGTTATATCTACCGGTTTTTAATACTCTTTTAATTACTTTTTATAAATTTAAATAATAAAACATTTTAAAGTAGTTCTGAATAACGAACCATTTAATGAGCATTCCATGATAAACATCGAATAATTAAAAGTTATTTTAAATACTCTTTTAATTACTTTTATAAATAGAATAATATAATAAACAGTTGTGAAACACTTTCAAGATTTGGTTTACTGTATCGCATTTACTACAGTCCCAAAACACTTTATTCTCCCCTTTATCTGAGAATTTAAGATCTTGACATGTAATACAAAAATTAACAACAAATTGTGTCCGCTAACAATGCATAGATCACTAAAATATAATTACAGGCCACTAACGGTAAAGTTATAAAAAATTTTTAAATATGCCATTTATATACATTAGTTAAGTTTAAGATATTATTTTCCTCTTCCAAATAGGCTACCCAGCTAAAGAAAAGTTTTGATCTTCCTGACAACATTATTCTAGTCTACACAGTTTATGAGTTTTGCTACTGATTTCTGGTTATTGTCGCTAAATTGTCTCAAAAGAATTTTCACATTAAGTTACTCACATTAATAGTGGATCTTGTACTATGACTAGATTAATTTGAACTTGTACTTGGACTTACACATTCATATTATTTATTTATATAGTATTCAAATTACCCCTTAATGCAACAAAGAATATACAACAATTATTCCAGAAAATATATCAACTACTTACTTTGATTATACTTTATATGACTATCGTATAATTATATTCTTTGTTCCTGTAAAGCATAAATAATGCTCTTTATTCCTGTAGAGTTTAATTATACTCTCTATTCCTGGGGAGTATAATTAAACTCCTTATTCCTGTGATGTATAATCATACTCTCTATTCCTGTGGAGTATAAATATACTCTCTATTCCTGTGGAATATATTTATAGTTTCTATTGTTGTGGAGTATAATTATACTCTTTATTGCTGTAAAGTGTAATAATACTTGATGTTCCTGTAGTATGTAGTAGTACTCAACATTATAAATATAAAGAATATATATGTATTTGTCTTCTATATAGTCTATAATAGAAAATTTGCTTTTAAAAATATCATGAAATAATAATAACACCTACTGGTACTGTAAAATAAAAAATGCATCCATGTTATCTGCTCTTCTATTTTTACAAAGTAAATACAATATTCTTTCTTCCAATAAACAGAATAAGTTCCGGTCCAAATAAAACTTTAGGATTTATCAAAATGCTTTGAGTTTGTTAGTTAGGTTCACAACTTTAAGTTTTAAATTTTACAGTTGAGTTCAATTGCCCAAAGAAAGTACAATCAATCCGCTCTTATAAATGTGGATATAGGTATATATATCCATTATAAATCAATTAATCCATAAATAAATTTTTATAAAACATGTATAAAATATTTCCAGTATCAAATTTTGAATTTGTTTCTCGACCTGGTTTTTTTTAATAATACTTTTTTATATATTTTCGATCTAACTATAGCTCACCTATTTATAAGCCGGACTATATATATATAATGCCCACCCGGTAGAAAATATTTTCACTATCTTTTTCACGACCACATTGAAATAGTTATAATTTTTCTCAAAATCATTAAATAATTTGAATGCATAAGTTTAACTTAAAATGAATCGATTTATTTGCAATGTAATTATGATAAAACTTATATATTTTTTAATTTAACACTAATATTTAAAATTAAATTATCCATAGAAGCCATAATAAGGACGTCGTCTTACTATGATACGTCTTCTAAATCCTGGTCCGAATCCACCATAATATGGAAATGGTGGCGGATAATACGGTACAGGATAAAAACCAAATTGTCGCACATTCCGTGCTGATCCATTATTTTCCTCAACTCCCGCATCTACATCCAAGAGTGCTTCCGTTCCTTTCGCACTTGAATTGTTAACTTCAGTAGTATTGTTGTCACTTTTAGTAGTGCTCGTAGCTGTTATGCCATCAAATAGGTTAAAGAAACCTAATAGGATTATGCAAAATATGCAAACACTGAATATGCGCATTTTAACTAAGTTTTTTCAAGATTTTTTTTTTCGAAATATTTTTATTTAAGCAGACACGATCTATTATTAAAAAATTCCGAAAAGTTCTAAGAATAATTTTGCTATACATTTGATTTTTATACCAAGCCGAGTTGAATTCATTAATGGATTTGTACAGGTAAACAAACACAACTCTTAATTACGGTCATCACTGCTATAATCATTATAATTATATATACATTTTGTTCTGAGTAAACTTAAACGTGCAAAACTTAATTTATTATAATTTTTTAAAGTTTTTTCTTTTATTCATAATTAAGTGTGAACCAAATGACTGAAGAAAAAATTTTAATATTATGATTTGTAGTCATTAGTCTTCGTCATTTTTTGATTTGTATCTTTTGCTGATTTAATTATTTGTTTTTAAATTTTTACTAGATGTACAATATTATATTATTTTTATTGCTTTATATAGTCAGTCATACATGGGGAAGTAAAGTTTAACAAAAAAATTTTATTACTTATATCTTAGATTTAAAAGTATCTTGTATCTTTTTCGTGTTACATTTTTGGAATTCCCCAAAACACTTAAATGTTTAAAGTAACATAAAAATTTTTTTGGTGTACTGAATCACTTTATTTTTAATTATTAACATTTGTTTACTTTTGAAGATCATTAAACTTTATATATAAAAACATAATTAGTTGTGGCCATTTATGATATGTCTGAATGTAATTATTAAAACTGGCAGCACCGGGGTGCTGCAGTTCAAAGAGTACCTGTTCTTAATATCTTAACTTTTTTAAAAATAATTTAAAAACTTGTAATACTTATAGTTATTCATGTATATTTGAATATTCATTATCTATGTATATGTTTATATAAAGCAATAATTAAAATCACATACGTACTCATATACTTACAAGTCCACACATTAGCTCATATTCCGAATCAAAATTAGAAAACAGGTACAAAATTAGACAAATCATGTAAGTACTTATAATTTGATTTGATTTAATGATATTTAAATTTTTTTCAAAAAATTAAAGCGAGTTACATTTAAAAAAAAATGCCGCAAAAACAAATTTCTCATACTCAATCCGATTATACCAAAGTTATCTTTATCTATGCTTGGAATTTCTACTTTTTAATAATATTAATAACTTTGACATGAAGTTTAAAATCAAATCAATTAGTGATTACAAAACTAATTAATACGATTAAGAAATATAAAAAACCTCAAACATAAATATTAATTAGCTCAGACTTTCTTTCAAACTAATTAATATGTAGATACCAGAATTTTAATTTACATAATTAAGAAATTAATATAAATTACAATCTAAAAGCGAAAATTCAAATCTTCTGGTATATTTTTTAGTAGTTCTTTCACCCAGAAGCAGAGTTCGGAATGTGGTGCACAAAATCGCACACTGCACTGTGCGAGTGGAAATTATTTTTAAAATATGCACACGCACATTTGTGGTGTTAAGAAAAAAAATGCACGCACTCAAATTTGTTGTGCGATTTTAAATTTCACATCGCACAAAGCGATGATTGTGCACACAGATTCGTGCACACACATTTGTGCTGTGTGACTGATTTTTAAAAATGTGCACAATCAGATGTGCGAGAAAATTTTATGCTCGCACCGCACTGTGCGACAAAAAATTCTCTTTGCACACGAGTGTGCTGCTCATATTACGTTTGCACAAATGTGCACAAATGTGCGACTGCACAAACGTGCACAAATGTGCACAAATGTGCGGTTGCACAAACGTGCACAAATGTACGATTTTGCGCTTGCACCCAAGGGTGGAAAAAATTACAGGAACTTCACAATTTTGTTTGAAATAGAAAATATTATTTTGTTGCAAATTTTGAAAAAATTGATATTTGCGTTCGTTGGGATCGTA